TATATTTTTCGGGGTAAGAGGGCCAAATAAGCTTGTACCATCATCCCAGAGGTTAAGAATTCATGCTGAGTTTAGATATTAAACCAGTTTAACCTCAAAGACAGTCTGGAATGATGAGAACGGAGACGCCAGCAAATGATGCCAACAAAAGAGAAGGAGAAGGAGAAGAGATGTAAAGGTCAACGCTGCCGGCATCACCGCTCAGGTATCTTAACTTATCGTACCACAACCAATGGCTGGCAAACTAATTCTTAGGCACATCTGTGGGCTGGAATGTGCTGCTCCTTCAAGCTAATCCCTCGCCGGCAAAACTTGTTTGTGACAATGAGGTAATTAAAACAGCACGGCGTGGCGTGAGAAACCAAACAATTGAGGCGAGAGGAAGCTTTCACTCTCACCAAACTGCGGACATCTTGTTCAGTCTTGTTGCCCTCTTCGGCCTCCACGTCGATGGGCACCAGAAAGTAAGCACCTGCAGAAAGGAACGAAGCTGTAAGCCCGAAAACCTGCCGAAACCAAACACTCTGTCTGGACAACAGGAGGCGAGTTCTTACTTGTATTGGAACAGAGTTGGCTCACGTTACAGTTTGATAGCGGAGAAGCTGAAAGACAATGAAAACATCAGGATTAGGGGTTGTTTCTTCTTAACGTAACACTAACTGTGTGTGCATTTACACTAACCTGATGAGAAAGATGCTCCAGATGTGCTCTGAATGGCAGATGTGGTTGGAGACGTTTGGGTGCTTGTTGAGCTGGGATTGGCCAGATTGGTGTTAGGGGACGAGGATGTGTCCATTCTTGCTGTGAGATCACTCCCTGAAATTAAAATTAAAATGAGAGGCCATGTTTTAAACTGTATTGAAAGACTTTTGCCCGACAGTTGAAGTAAGATTATTTCCCAGTATGTCTCTAAGTCGAGTGTTTTAGATCATCTGGTTGAACTGTTGGACATCTTTCTCGTGCCAGCTGCTGTTTTGACACGTCTCAGCCTTTAATTTAGTGACTATGATGTTATCTTATGGTCAAAAAATAGACGATGAAATGAAATGATCCTTAAGTCTCTGTTGTTCTTTATTATTTCCTTAAATCATAATATTATCAGAACCACCATAGATTATGAATTAAAAGTTAGAAAAAAAGTTACATTTGTCCATAAATTTCTGCAACTTTTTAATTTTGTCAAAATAACGGACAAAATTACAACAATTTCACTCAAAATTATTATTTTTTGGCATTTTTTCCACATTATTGTTATTATAATGTTGCTGTAATTGTGACAATTGATGATCAAAATTACATAAATGGGCACGAAAATGAAATAATTCATCAAAACTAGAAAAGCAGACACTGAAATGAAATTTCTGCTTTTCTTATAATTTGCTGTCAATATAATGTGACTGTAATTAATACAAATTACAGACAGAACACCACCAAATGATTAAAATGATCCTTGAATTTCTACTACTTTTCCTACTTTACTGACATTTTAAAGTTATAATAACCGATCAACATGACTACAAAACTACAGAAAATAGTCTCAGATTGAAACTATGCTTGATTTTCATCATTTGCTCACATAACAATGTAAAAACATCAAACCAAACTGATGGACGAGACTTGAAATACTGGTCCAAATGTAAATTTCTGCATTTTTCTAATCATTTGTTTCCAATATAATGTTACTGCAGTTCATGTAAGGGATGGAAATGGCATCACAAAGGAGGCCTAAATTAAAATCATGTTTACATTTCTACCACTTTTCCTTTTTTACTAATAAACTCATTAAAACCAATCAAAATTAAATAATGCTTAAATTTCTGCTGCTGATTATAAGTTACTGACATAATAGTGAAATAACATCCGAGCAAAATAATGAAAAAAAATTTAAACAAATAAAAACTGTAATGATTTACTGCCATTATAATGTTACTATAATCGGTACAAATCACAGAAATGACACCACAAATTGAGCCCAATTTGAAATTAAAGTCATTATAACCAACCATTATGATGGATAAAGTTACACAAAATTGTCCCAGAGTGAAACTATGCTTACATTTCTGCAACTTTCTTATAATTTATTGACATAATAACGTTATCATATCGAAGCAAAATAAAGGACAACCCTGATAAAATGGGCCCAAACTGAAATTTCAAGCTTCTTTTATCATCTACTGCCATCAGAGCGTGAGAGGCGTTTCTACACGTGAAAGCTCTCATTCACGAGAGGCGGCATCAGTGAAAACAGCAGTTTGCAAAATAGATGCTGACACCCACGACTGAGTAGATAAACAAATGAGCAGCACGATGCAGAAACTCCATCAGCACAACAAACCAGCAGAGATCTCAAAGTCACAGCTTGATTTTGTAAACTCGCTGCTGAAGAGAAAACAGGTGGGGATGTTGTTATCGTCTGAAGGTGATGCTTACCAGGCGAACGCAGGAATGACCGGCTCATTCCAAGAGTAGCAGCTGAAACAGTGAATGTGGTTATTCAGTCCAATCTGTCTTTTCCTGCAGCTTCTTCTAACAAAACAATTCTGACTCTGTGGCATTCTTGAAAAGCACATTTACATGTAAGGAAGCATTTTGGTTAGATAAAGGTCGCATGTCCAACTCCTGCATGGACAATAAAACTACTCTACAAGCATTGGCGAACACAAATAGACAAACAAAGACACACAACATGCAGAGTGTGAGTCACCTGAATACACACCATTGTTAAGGTCTCTGTAAACACGAATCCTGCGTCTGAACCGTTTCTTGTCTACAAGACACATAAAAACATGCAACATTCAACATCCGACATGCACCGAGAACATGCAGCGCTACAGATTTAGAGATGAAGATACCAAAGACTGATGAGCGGCGTGGTTTGCATGCACTACCGACGTTTTAAACAAATGATGTCTGGACCTTTAGGAAATTGCTATTTTGGGACGTGTTGGACGACACAAGTCTTAAAACTGTAGACTGAATTGCAGTACCTTGGATTGTGGCTGCATGAAAGAGGATTTTTCCATTCTCCTGTTGGTAGCCTTATAAAGAAACTGTCTTTTTTAGGGAGTTCTTTCCATTTGCAGAAAGAAAAATCTTTCTAGTGTGAATTTCTAGCAGTTTTAGATTCCTGTGACGCCCTAAATATGAACATATCAGACTCATAACGTTGAATCCTTGAGTCTGTCATTCATACCTGCACCAACAGCTAGAATTAATTTAAATGTTAAATTTATTCTTGACATGCTACTTTCATGTCAGGCGTTCCAGCATCCAATTAAAAACATGATTTATCTAATGGTTTAAAGCAGTCAGATTTTATCTCTTGCATGCCTCCTTGGTGGCTGTTAATGATCTGACGTTGCTCTTTTGTAATTATGTGATCTCATGCTACCATTTGGTTTCGCTTACAAAAAGTCGTAAAGGTTAAATTATTTTATTCTTTCAAAACATCAAGCTAAAAATGCATGCTTCAGAACTTCCATACAACACATTGCTAACATGCTGTGCTATGTTTTATGATGTAATACATGCCCCGCATTCTTTTACAAATGCAGTCGACAGTTAGTTCACAAAGTCATTCATGCATAAACTATCTACGGATTGTAATGGGAAGGTTAGTTTTTTTCCCGTCCGTCTCACCACAGTAGAGGTACGGGTTGGTCCGTCTCGCTTTGGGACTGGTCAGTCCCCAGTAACGGGCGTTCCAGCCAATCACAGTGCCGTCCTCGCACAACCCGTGGTGACGCAGGTCCGCCCACATGCGGAACAAGTACAGCTCCACCTGTCCGAGGTTGGCCCTGGGCGGCTGGTCTCTGGGACGACAGCCCAGCCACAGGGAGCCGTAGGGGGGGATGGCCGTGGCGATGGCCGTCCTCGTGGCCACCAGTCTCCCGTCGACCTGGAACATTCACACAACTTGTGTTGCTAACATAAAGGGCACTGAATAGGTGGACGTTCAGAAGAATACTGTCCACAATGCTACCAAACCTCCTTACGTTTGTTTTTATTCTAAAGAGGGCCACTTGACCTCTCTTCCCAGTGGGTCAATGGCCCTTTCCTCAATGGGAGAATGGCCCATTGGCCCATTATCAGATCTTAAAACACTAAAAAGTAGTCTGACCAAACACATTTTGAATGAACCTCTGGGCGAGCCAAAATCATTCATAGGAGAACATGAAAACAAACAGTTAAATTATCATCACAATTAACCATGATAGTTTGGAACTTCCAGATTCATTTGCGACACCAAATAAACTGGTTTTGGATGGGCTGCCTTAACTGCTACCTTGTTTTGACTGCTGCCTGTCTGATTGTTGTTTCTTGTCCCTCCTCGGTGATTATATAGAAGGAAACTGGACTTTTGGTTCTTGAAGACATTTTACCGCTCATCCACGAGGCTTCCTCAGTTCTGACTGACTCGTTGGGAGTTACAGGTGTTTATTTTCGCCCTCAAATCACGTGGCGCATGGCAGCTAATGACCCAAAACTCAAGTGAATTAAGACTCACTAACATGGCGGTTTAACCGTCTGGGGAAGGATCTCAGGACTGCCTCATAAGCACCCGATGAGTGGCATCATAGACCCCAATCTGGGCTTAGAGGGGGCTGTTCCCATTTAACATTGATGGTTTCCTTCACTCTTTTCTCAAACCATCTGTTTTCTGTGTCCAGAATGCCCTAAAAAGAATGTCTCGTCTTCTGTAGATACAGCTGAACTTGTCCTGAGACGCTGTGTGATCATGTGATTTGGGATTAAAAATACACATTTGGGACTCGCAACCAGTCAGTTAGAGCTGAGGAAACCCTGTAAGTAATAAAAGAATCACGCTACAACTAGAAAAAATTTTCAAAAGCTGCATTAATAAGACCTGAGTGGTGTTAAAGTGGAGGTAGCCTTTAAGTTGCAGTGATCATCCCCACTGGTTTAACGTGCAAAACATTGTCAGCTTGTATACAGTTGTCTGAATTTGCCATTTTTAAAACTACATTACAGCAAATCTACAAACTTTACAATTCTATATAATTGGACAAAGCTACAGGTTGCTATCAACATTTACATTAGCATTTTCTAGCTTGCTATAAAACACTACTGGTAATATTCACCACAGCTGTACAGAATCTGTTCTCATGCAGCTCAGTAAGTCAAAAACCTACTCGGCTTTCCTACGCATACTTTGGTCTGCTTGTCTAAACAATATCTGCTTTGCAGTGAAGTGTTTCATTCAAAACTCCACCTTGAACTTGTGGTGTTTTTGCAGGACAACTTGTGTCAAGTTGTGAGTTGTTCAAACAAACTGTTTCTTTTTTTAGCAACACACAAACATACTTTTGTGCCCGAATGGCTTCATCAATGTTGGGAGTCAACGAAGTGTGTTTACTTGAGACGTAATCTTGTACTTTAGTTGAGAATTTATGCTGCTTTATACGTTCACTAAACAACAGTTCAGGAGAAAAAAATTGGCTTGACACTATACTTGCAATAACAATTACATACTTTAGCCTCAACAATGTCGTCAGTGCAGAACTTTTAATTGTTACAATGTAGAAAACTTTTCTATAAGTAGAGGTTATAAATAGTTCCTGCATCACTGGGTAAACTATGGAAGCATTACCTCCAGGCTGAAGGTGTTTCCCACACCGTCTCTCCTCAGACACACCCTGTGCCACTGAAACAGTGAGAGCCGCAGAGGAAATCGGTGTCGGACTCGTAGGAGCCACGCATAGATGGCATCCTGGTCCCCCTCCAGACCTAACTCAGGCTTGGGTGCGTGGACCGAGCTGTAAGAGAAGGCCACCCAGGCTCCTGGAACAACCACACGAATGTCCACGCACACGGTCATCTGAGAAAGCTGCGGCATGTAGGCCCTGTCCTGCAGGGTCCAGTGGTCTTCACAGCCATTTAATACTGCCTTAGTGTCTCCCAGGAAATAACCAAAAGCTGCAAGGGGCGAAAGAAATCCAGATTTAAAGTGGTAATAGGGCTGCAGAGCTGCATTTAGTCTCAATGGCTGCGCAAAGAGTTTTAAATGAATTGAGCCATTTCAAGCTAAAAGCCTCTCAGGGAGCAAGAAAATCATATGTCCTTGAATTCAAATCAACATTAAAAACTCTATATTTCCTTTTTTTTTTTCCTTCTTGAATTACCTGAAGCTGGAGGAGCTGCCAGCAGCAGCAGCAAACACATGAACAGAAGGAACCGAGGTCTCCATCTCCACGGCCCTTCAAACCAAAGGCTATCCATCCTCCTGGAAACATGAGACAGCAGTTCATTCATCCCTCCTCCTCCTGTTTCATTTAATTTTTAGTTTAGTTGTCATTGCACCTGTCTATCACTCACTCATGCTGTCACAAAAATTCGAATGAAATGTCAAGCGTTGTTAGCAAACACAAGAACTGCCAGCTTCCTCTTCCCATATGTCTGTAATGCTCATCCTCTTTCGTGCAAATCTGAGTTTCTAGACGTGGATGCCATCACAGTGTCTCATTGTTTCAGCCGTGGGATTACATAGAAATTCCCCTTTACAGCTTGTAAGCTAAAACGATCTAATATTATCCCTGCCTTTGTGTGTGGGGAAGGATTGACCGCGGGGCAGGGGTGGACACAGCGGATTGGGTTGCACCTGACTGCGTTTGCACCTTTGAAAGACGCAGGTTATTGTTGCGCCAGTATTTATGTCGCTGCTATACTTCGGTTCACGCCTGCAACATTCGGATGCACACAATGCTATGCAGAACTTCAGGAAAATCAAAGCATCCTACGTGAGATAATAGTTACTGTCGGTGACGTTACGAGAAATTATGCAACCTGCCGTGCAAGCGAGTCTGGAGTAATCGCCTCAGAAATTGGATATAGTGAATGTTAGCCAGCAGTTGACGATTTGCATCATTTCCTTTTAATGTGTAGTAGACTTTCAGAGCACCTGTGAATGAACTTTAGCTCTGGTTTGGTCCCCAAAACTCTGCTAAAGGGTAACTTTACCTGTTGGGTAACTACAGCTACAGGTTGGTAGCACACAGTGTGGCACTAAAAAGCAAAAGCACAATAACTTGAAGGCCCAAATCTGACTTTAAGATGAGATCTTGCAATTTAAAACATATTATATAACCAGAAAACATTGGTGGAAACCCAACTCCAGTGGCGACACAAACGCTGGTTCATGCTTGTGATTTCATTAAACTAATTTTACCCACTTTCTCCTTCTTATGCTCTCATATCCAAGAGTCAAACTGACTTTAAATGACATATTTTAATGTATTCAATGCATGAATTAATCTGTTGTACTCGCCTCTTGGTACAAAAGGACAAGAGATGGACACAGAGCAAGAACACGCTTTTGGTGGTTACTGCATTTTCCCTAGATATTGTCTTTTATATTGTTTGTAAGGTATCTGACCTTTTTTTTCTGTAATAATCATTAAAAATGAGGTTTCATCTAACATAAACACAAATCAGCCACAACAATAAAACTTCTTGCCTGATATTGTGCCAGAAAAACAGCTCTGAGACCAGTTCAAAATCTCTGAGGGTGTGTCATGGTATCCGGCAGCAAAACAGATCCTTTAAATCCTGGATGTTACCTCCATGGTTTGGACTTCGGATTTTGGATTTGGAAGTCAAGTCAACACCTCGAATTCTTTGCCATGTTCCCCAAATAATTCCTGAACAGCTTCAGCAGTGTGGCGGGGAGCTTTATCTGGCTAAAAGCAACCATTGTTTTCAGGTAATACTGCTGCCATGAAGGGTTAAACGTGGTCTGCAGAAGTATTTAAAAGCCCATGAATGCAGGACTAAAGGTTCCCCAGCAGAGCATCACTGAGGGCATCACGCTCGGTTGTCCCCATGATGCCAAAGAAAGTCTGGCTCATCAAAACAGTCCTCATTTGTCGTTCTTCCATGCCCATTTCAGTAGGTTTCATGAACGGACAGAGTCAGCGTTGGCACTCCTACCCCGTACACAGCAAGCTGAGCTGCATTGTGTGTTCTGACATCTTTCTATTATAGGCAGCAATAAGGTTTTCAGTCATTTGTGCAACAGTAGCTCTCCTGTGGGATTAAGCCACAAGGGCATCAATAGGGCCTGGGTATCTATTTACTGGTTGTCTTTCCTTGTACCACTTTCAGTGAACATTGTGTACCAGGAACACCCCACAACAACACCTGGCGTTTTGGGAAATGCTCTGACCCAGTCTTCTCGCCACCAGCCAGTCGCTCAGATCCTGTTCTTGCCTGTTTTCCCAGCTTGCAACACATCAAATTGGAGAACTCATTGTTCTTGCTGTCTAATATAACCCACCCACTGACAGGTGCCACTGTAACGAGATAATCAGTGTTATTACCTTCACCTGTCAGCGTAATGCTGAGGCTGGTCGCTGTGTACCTGGTGGTGGTGGAGAGATTGTTTCTGAAATAAAACAGTGAAACTAAAACTTTGGAACTAACTTAAAGAAAGAGTCATTTAGCCGCTGACCTCAACTTACATAAACCTATAAAGATTTTAACCTTATTACAATAAAAATGTGTATCTGCAATGAAATTCCCTCATTTGTAGACACATTAGTGTTATCCTCTTGTATGATTTTTATACTGAATAGAACCAAGCAGCCTCTGCATTTCCTTCTTCTGTATTCACTGCAATTCTTCATCATTATTTGGCATTTCGGATGTGACTCATTTGTTCAGACAAGGTGTTTGGTATCTGTACATTACCTGTACCGGAATATTTATTCACACTCACCACCACATGCGTACGCTTGTGCACGCACTTTCATTGTGCCGTATTACAGGGAGTGTCTGCAATTACACAGGACCTTATTTTTAAAAAATGCTGATCTACAGGGTTTGCTGGATGAAGGACGCATTAGTCGTGTTTGATCCATTAAATTATATAAGTAGACACACATAAAATGTCATGATTCACGTTTGGAAATGTATTTGTCTAATACTGCTCGCTCACTTATGCTCCACAGTGGTGTCTCTTTGTTTTGTTCCTGCACTAATTCAACATAAAGATTGTGATTTTTAAATCCTAAACCTCTCCTGTCTGATCACGCGAACCCGTATTTGCACTAAGCTGTGAGGTTCATGTGTCATGTCAGAAAAAGACACAACACTTGTTGGAGCCTTGAGGCTACACAGAAGCTACGCTCCTATTGTCGCTTCTAAAATATGTTCCCACCGTCTGGCTGTGTTTTGAAGTCAAAATAGTGCTGCAGAGTTATTTCCACATTCAGTCTTCTTCTCCGTGCTTGTCTTTCATTTACAACATTCTTGAAGTCAGAGGGGAACTTTTGACATTGTTGGAGGCATCTTCCACAAGTTCCACAGAGGAAATATCCCAATATTTAAGTTTCCTCTGTTTACTTTAACTAATAATAGCTCATAAAGGACTTACCTGATGCTTCTCAAAAGCATCTGCAGTCTTTGTACGTGTGAGTATTCTCATATGTGTGGATCCTACGGAGGAAGACTCGTCTTCTTCACTCTGCTCTGCACATGTGTCTCCATCACCCTCATGTTCCCGCTCATCTGTCTTTGACCAGTCTCAAAGAAATTGCCAGCTTCTGTCCTCAGTTGCTCTCCGTTGTTCCTTCGGTATCAGCCTCTCTCTTACACAAGAGCATCATCCGTAGCGTCAGGTGGCTGGAGTTTGTGGGTGTGTTTGTGTGTGTCAAGGTGCGTTCAGGAAATCAGCAAATTCTGAAACGCGAGGTCTGCACGGTAGAGGAAATAACGACACACCCCCACGGAATAGGAAGAGGAGGGAGAGAGAGAGAGGTGATACAAACATACCTGGTCGGGGTGGTATGAATGTGAATCTATCCATCTATCTGTCTTGATCTTTGTTTTTTTTTTCTACTATCCCTGCATGGCTCGAGGGCAACAGCTGGCAATACAGGATGCAGGGCCAGACGGTTCCTGCACAGAGTATTAGCCTTTATCTGGTATGTGTGTGTGTCCATGAGAAAAGTGTGCAGCATGGGCAAACAGCAAAAAAGAAAAAAACCCACACAGACAATAAATACAGACGAGGCTCCAGTATGAAATAATAGATTCAGGTTGACAAACCGGTCAAACATCTTGATGGCTGGGCTGTGAATCTGAGGAATGGCATCTGACGTCAGATGTAAAATAAATCCAAACAAGACAGTAGCAGCCTCAGGGCGACACGGTTACACAAATCTCAGTGTCTTGTCTGCTGCATGTGTGTGTGTGTGTGTTTGTGTGTGTGTGTGTGTGTGCATCTGCTGTAGTTAATTAAGAAGCTGACCGTTGACCACAAGGGGGCAATAAAGACTACGGTTTTATTTATTTTTTTCTTTCCACTGTGGATCAAGTGTCTGCCATTGTTCACTTTTCCTGAGGGGGTAACGAAACAGTATCAGATCGGTGAAGCAGAGCAGAGCTGCGGCACGTTACCGCTGCTCTCGGGTGACACAGCAGTTTTGGGTGAGTTACTTATCGGAGCACAGTTCAAGCACGAGTGAATCAAAATCCCGACGGCAAACTCGTCTTCTTCTGCTACATTAAATCTGTCCAATATGTTTTACTTTCAAAACACACACAAGCCCAGAACATCACCTATGCTCAAGTGGGTACTTCTTTACCTGCTGACTCTGACGCTTCCAACAGGTTATTTTTTGGTTTTTAAAGAAAATATCTCAACCAATATTGAAAGGATTGTTAGGAAATTGGGTACAGATGTTCATGTTTTCCTCACAGTGTAGCACAAAAAATAACAATCTCCAGGCTAAGATTTTAGTTTGACCAGCAGGGGAGCAAGCAGCAGGATGCACAAGTGAAGGATCAGTCATATGTTTTACATGGTGGAGGCCTTAAGCACCAACACTACCATCCATCCATTATCTATACACCGCTTAATCCTCACCCTGGACAGGTCACCAGTCTATCACAGGGCTACACTTAGAGACAGACAACCAGCACACTCACATTCACACCTACAGACAATTTAGAATCACCAATTAACCTCAACATGTTTTTGGACTGTGTGGGAGGAAGCCGGAGAACCCGGAGAGAACCCACGCTGCACAGGGGAGAACATGCAAACTTCACGCAGAAAGATCTCGGGTGTCCTCACTGGGACACGAACTGGCGACCTTCTTGCAGCGAGGCAATGATGCTAACCACCGCCCCGAGCAGTACCAGTGTAAATGTTATGCCAGCATCAGTGAATAAGGTGGTGACCAAAAAGTAGCCCAATTTATCACAAAAGCAACATATATTCAGTTCCATGTTGTGTGTCTAATTTTCTCAATTTGGTGGTACCCAAGAGCCATTGGATGTCACACCAAAACAAATAGGCACATCGGCCATACTTCTCCCTGCCCCAGTCCACATGCAACCATTAGCCCATGCTAGTATTGTAAAAGGCATCTAGCTGTCGTAAACTCAAGAAGAAGCTGTAAAAGAAAGCTGTAGAACCCCAGGTGCAACTCTCACACCTACCGGAAGTGCAACAAGTGCACACAAATGAAGTAAAATAACACAAATACTTTGCTTTTAAATTCTTTGGATTCTCATAGTGCCAGCTGACTGCACCTTTGCTTGTCCAATCTGGTGTCAGAGGTCATTGTCTGCTTAGAAGTGCCGGGAGGGCCAACAGTTTCCAGAAGGAGGGACTTATGCACTTAGATGAATACATAAACTGACCGCCAAAACAACACGCAGGCAGGTTGTGACTTCACTCTCTGCTACTGTATGTTTGCTGCTCTGTTAATGTTGTATTGATGTTCAAAACCTCGCGTACTGCACCTTTAGTGTTCTTTCTCTCTGACCTTGTTTACTTTAGTTCTCTCATTTCTCAACAATCTCCCACTAAGACCCAAACCAGATGCCTTCCAGATGCCTTGCATGCTAAAACACTGCTGATTTATTGTGCATGAATGTCAGCTGCAGGCCATCGTTTTAGGTTTTTGACTCCAACATCTCCTACCACTGGCCTATTTTACTCGCGAAAACCAAACAGCAACAGAATCGGCAGTAAGCTGCATTTGGATTGACAGCGAAGGAGTGTGGGAGGTGTTGGTGGTTTCTGGCGGCAGAACCAAGTCTTGTGTGTTTCTACCCTGAGGGTGCAATCTTAACTTTGATCGAATGGGCTATTGGTTATGGAGAGAAAGGCAGTTTTATTTTGGAAAACACACATTTTTTTTGATTACCGTACGAATCCTTTCACACCTCCCTGAGCTTAGCACTGAAGGCGCACTGTTTCCACAGGTTCCTGCAATCTACCGTTCCTACAGACAATGCAGCACAGCGGTTCACTAATTGTAGATTATATTTAGAAAGAACCACATCCAGCCCTGTAATTGCGTAAGTAGCACGCCGTACAAAAGACGACGCAGCCGTCAGAGTTAGCGATCCCTCCAGCAGCTTGTGCATGTGCTCTCAGGAAAGCCAACTGGCAGCGCTCATGGGTGGGAAGCTGGTGTTTTTTGTGCAGCGCCGATGGTTGCGGCGCCTGCACAGAGCCCGAACAATACTTTCATTCAGTCGATTGTCAGAGGAGCGTGGATTAACAATAGCGAGCGCTCCCACACGCAGACCTTCAACTTCAAAGATGAATTCAGTAGTAAAAAAGCAACAAGCGCTATTCCCTTCAGGGGGGGTGAATCACGGGAGGTTGAGAGAGAACAATACTTTCATTCAAACTGATCTACGAATCAGAAATACAGAAGGAACGCTAGAGTTGCATTCTGATAAATGAATTGCCTGTCAAAGAGGGAGAATTCATCCCTGAGTGACGAAGCCTAAAAAAGCTGCATCAGGATTGTTAAAAAAGTGGAAAATTAAAAATATCGTGTGAGGTTTAGTGCACAAATTCACAATGGTTCACATGTGCCTCTCAGCTGGTGAGTCAGTTTTAATGTGATTGTGTTAAGGAGGCTGGATTTTCTCTGTTCTGATGGTTGGCTGACTAATGTTTCTTGACATTTACGTGTCTTGTTATTCACTACTTATTGATGAATATATGCTAAACAACCACCAGAATAGAGACTGTCTGCATTGCACAACTGTTCTAAATAAAGACTGGGTTTGACTGGTTTTGATTTTCAAGCTAGGATGTGTGAAAGCTGTGTACTATATTATAATATAATAGAGAGTAATTTTGAGTGCAGCTTGCAATCTTAGAGTGCAAATGAAAAAGGAAAAAGCTGTGCATTTCTATATAACTTAAAACAAGTGTCAAAATCCTAAATTTTCATTATAGTGACTTTTGAATTTTTACAGCAAGAGTTGTAGCCTTTGCTAAACTGTTCTGAGTTTAAGATTTTCTGAAATATTGCAATTATTTTTTTTAAACTTTGTGCCAAACAACAGCCCCAGTACCATCAAAGTTTTTCACCCCTTTTAGTTTCACTCAAAGGATTACCGAAGCACTCCGCTTTGACTTTAAAGCCTTCCAGAAAAGGTTGGAGTCATCATAATTACCGTAACCTGTTCTTTTCTCCAAGCGTGTTAAGAATCCATTTGACAACTCTGTGTTTTTGAGTTCTAAGACTGGAGAAAAACATTCGAACGAAAAGAAAAAAAGTCAACCACTGCTTTGCCCTCTTTAGCTTCCGCACCACTATTCTACAGACCACAAAGACCTAAGATCACGTTTCCTTATTTTGACTTTATTTGTCCAGCATTAAAGTAGAAATACTCGAGTCATACAGATGATTGCCTCATGTCATTGTAGCTGTATTTGTGCAACTTGGTATGGCGAACAGATAGCAGTAGCAAAACGACGGGATCGGATCTAAAGCAAAGTTTCGTAGACGTGAAAAGTGTGGCACTTCTTCTGTGGTGACGTCACACCTCGGCTGATCCTCAACTTCTGATTGGCCGTTTGGGGGAAAATAAACCTCATTCACATGCCGCACAGCACTAGCAACAAGCAGGTAACCATGGATACACTGCATCGGAAACCTGTCTTTCTCTCCCTCCTGGTCTTCATCTGCCTCCTGCTCTCTTGAATCTATTTTCTCTTGACCTTCTACTCTTAATTTTCATCCCATCTTTCCTCCGTCGCACCCTCCGTTTGCTTCCTGTCTTCACAAGTATCAGCATTCTCGTCAGCGGCGCGCTCGGCGGCTGAACCACTTCCCAGCCGGCAGTCACCATGGCAACGCAGGAGCCCAAAAAAACCAGCGTCATCCCCGCGCTCAGACAGTGGTGATCTGGTCGACCACTCTGGTGCTGTCGTTCATTTCGACGCACTCGACCTCCTGCCTCTGGCCCTCTTCTCCGGGCCGGTGACCCCGGCTCTTGGAGGGGGGCAGGAAGGTGAGCAGGGTGGGCAGGAACGCCAGCGTGTGCAGGGCCGAGCAGCCGGCCGTGAGGGTGAGGCAGCGGAACAGTGTGCGCGTGAGGTTGGAGCGTACGGAGCCAACAGGCACCAGGGCGACGCTGTAGCAGATGAGCGTCTGCAGGGAGGGAACCCCGTGTCTCTCCAGCGCCACTCTCACCCAGCGAGTCCTGCTCTCGCCCCGACCCGAGGCGAAGCCGCAGAGCAGAGGGCCGCTGCAGTCCGCCGAGTGCCCCAAGGCCGATATCAGACACAGCACGGACATGCAGTCCAGCTCCACGCCCCATAAGGTCATGAAGCCCAGCACCCCGAACTGGACGGAGAGCAGGGTGAGGCCCAGCCACACGGAGACCAGCGGCTCCACGACGGCCAGCGAGGACAAACCCAACAGGAAGAGCACCGCCAGCAGTGAGTGTCTGAGGGGGGAGCTGACCGCCGCGGCGTAGCGGTCCAGGTACACGAAGGAAGGGTTAAAGATGAGGAAGCGGACGCGCGAGGTCAGCGACAGGCGCCGCAGCGTGTCCAGCAGCACCGACATCTCCTCGCGCTTGTTCTCCGTCGTCTTGGCGACCAGGAAGATGCGCGAGGCCGCCACGTCGGGCTCCTCGCCCTGGCCGCGCTCCGCGAATATGATGTCGTCCGCAAAGTGGGCGAACTGCGGCTCGCGCAGGAAGGAGTGGCGGAGCGTGCGGGTGAAGTTCTCCCGCGGCTGGCTGGTGGACTGGTTGCGGTCCGACAGGTAGTTCAGGTACGCCTCCAGCCAGCTGATCCTCTGGAAGCCTTTGGCGTATTCCAGCAGGTCCCGCTGCACCGAGGCGTTCCAGTAGGGGGCGCTTTCGTAGATGTAGAATCCAATCACAGGGGAGTAGGAGCTGAAGTAACGCTGCTGGGCGCGGGTGTACAATACTGTCGCTGTGTCCATGGCAACCAGCGCGCTGGGGTCGGAGCCCTGGGTCACCTGTTGGCAGCAGAGACATATTCGTTAAGGTGTAGGTTGTATCCGGTGTGAGGACAATTGAACCGGATGATATAACTCTAACGTGATATCGATCCCGTCACCTCGACTTGGTTGACAAATAAACCGGGTGCAGTTAGAAATGAAGTGCCAATCCTCAAAAAGTAAAAGGTCAATAGAAATGAATGGAATCCATCGCATGTGCTAGACAGTCGGTGGTTTATAGATGTTCAAATATGGCACCAATGGAGTTTGATAGCATATACGGTGTGGAGGCATTCAGTGCACGTCTCATCTGGGCAGCTGAAGACGCCAAATATAAGCCATCCATCATGGTCCAAGGAATAAAGGCAATAACATAACACTATAACACCAACTATCCTGTCAGCAGGACTCACTACGTACAACACTGATGTCAGTTTTATAGCAGCAGTGTTGTTGGATCGGCTCCCAGATTTGTTCACACAGGTGACACAATGCAAAGCAGATGCCACAGGGTTCACATCTTCCTCAGTGATGGCGATAATATGTGCTGCAATGCACCAGCAGAGGCTGTTACACTCAATGCATTTCGATGAGCAGTGAATGTAAACATACGAACCGATTTAAAAAGATCTCCACGGGGCGACTTCCTCCAGTGAAGCTGTGATGACTGCAGGTATGGAGGAATTAAACGCAAATCTTCAATTCATAACGAAGAGGAAAGCTAGAATTATGCTTCTGCGGAAATATGCAGCAACACCTAATGCAAGAAGGTTGTTATGGGTAATTGTAGTTTATTGCTACATTCTGACGTGAAATTTGGTGCACATATTCTCTGAAAGTCCCTGTTGGTTGTTGATTAACCCCTAAAAACTCGTCTCTGTAGATCAGACAAACATACTTAGAAGTTTTTCCTTCATGCCATAGCTTAGATGTAACTCTACATTCATCTGGAATGTGCAGATCTACGTCTGTCTCTGTTTATGTTCTGAGCATGTTTTGGGAATGTTGTCGAGGCAACGCAATATATACGTTCTTCTATAAAAAATTCTCACAACGTGTTGCCTTCGAATACATAAAAAAAATTGACTAAATGTTCCCACAACTTTACGTGATAGCAAGAAAAAATGTTGTCAATGCAGCATTTAGTTTCAGGAATGTTTTGACAATGTTATCACCAAACATTGTTAAAACATCTTTGCTTATTCTACCTTTATCAGAATCAGAAAAAATCTTTATTTATCTCCGAGGGGCAATTAGGTGGGCAAAGAGCGACACATTTAAGAAGAACATTCTGGGAACTACAAGAAAACTTCCCATTAAAAACATTAGTAGAACTTTTCAGAACTTTCTTAGTATGTTTTTTTGAACAAAAAACGTCTGACTGGGAATTATTACATTTTTGCAAGAAGCTAAGTTAAAATCTGCTTTCCAATTTGTGTGAACAAAGGTGACATCTTTGTTCAAGCAATTAAACTCCTAAAAACTCATCTCCGTGTATCAAAGTTGTTCAGGGTTTTACATGAAAATAATAGCTTTATATCTTGAACTAGCTTAGCTGCAGCAGAGACTTCCAACTGACCTATAACTCTGCTCAAACTACTACTCTGTGCTTCACAATGGCAAGTTGGAGTAAAGTTTTGGAGCCATGCACGTTAGGACCAGGAACCAATGTTTCCTTAAATCTGTCATGTACCAGATCATGTTTATAAGACTGTCAATGGTGGACTGCAGTTTGGCGGTGGGAACGCTCAGCCATTTTTATTAGAGGAGGTAGAGGATCCTCTCAGATAACACTGTGCATACGCCTTCTTATGTACGCTGGTGTGTTGTTGTGGCGTGTGTCTCACCTGTAGGAACCCCATCAATCCGAAGGAGATGTAAACCAGGTAAAGCAGAACCACAAAGGGCTTGACGTATGTGTTGGTGATCCAGTCTCCGTAGCAACGCCGCACACACCCCAGCAGAAGGTGCGAGTCCTGAGGATGAGGGTCCGTGCTCGCCGTCGAGTGCGTGTGAGAGTGTGGATGTGTGTGCGTGGAGTTGGCCACGTGTCCGTGCACACCGGGGTGGTTCACCGTGTGCGTGTGCGTCAGGTTGGGGTTTGGCGTGTGAGCGTGAGCGACGGCGTGCGGCGGGTTGGTGGTCTGCGCTTCATCCTGGTAGCGGGTGTACATCAAACACCTGTACCAGGCCGGTTTGGAGTCCAGCCGGTCCGGTTTGGGGACTCTCCGGCAGAAGCAGCCGTGTCTGTAGCCGGTCTCTAGGTAGCCGGTGAACACCAGGCAGGAGCTGTAGAAGGACAGCATGTAAACGTAGCTGATGGTGACGGCGAGGGCGGCGGTGCGGCAGAAGAGCCGGACGGCCTCCATGTTGGTGAGCGGCGAGGCGGCCAGGCCCAGCGTCATGAGGTGGAGCATGGTGGAGCCGGAGAAACGCAGCATGACGTCCTCGAAGACGCTCGCCACGCGCTCCTTCACGTGCTGGTCCTCCCGGGTTCGCCTCCACGACGACAGAATCTCGAAGGAGCCGAAGAGCCCGTGACCTGACGGGAAACAGAGCAGGAATGAGAACGTAAACCACATTAGAGAACAGGTAAGAGCACAGAAAGTCATTGAAATACGATAACACCCTTTTTAAACACTCTGAGAAAGTTCTGCAAAGTTGTGGTGATGTTTGAAGCTTCAGCAAATGTTCTTTCCTTGTTAAACATCACATTACTGGAACTTTTTATTAAGAACCGAAGCTGTGGTCCGGACAGCATTCTTATAACAACCTCGTTATTATATTATATGATCCTTGTCTCTGTTATTAAAATGATTTCTTCGAAATGTTATTAGAACTTATAGCTAACGTTAGCCAATGTTGTGGGGAATTTATGTCTTGTTTTGTTCTAGAAACATTGCAAGAAAATTCTGCAAAGTTCTTGTGGTGTTTGGGGTTTTTTTTGGTTTCCAGAATGTTCTTCCTAAAAGAAGGGTTCTCCAAAGACGTTCTAAAAATGTTCTCAAAACATTTTCCGAATGTTGCATTGAGAACATTCTTCCTTTGTTACTATGTAACATTGGAAGAATGTAACATTCTACTGAAACATTCTTCCTTTGTGGCTATTTAACATTGTGAGAACATTTTACTGAAGAATGTTCTCTAATGTGTTACCTGAACAACATCCCAGAATACTGCAGCAAAACGTTCTACCTCTGTTAATATGTCACATTACAGGAGCGTTTTATTAACATCTGCAAACATTCTTTGAATGCTGGTTCGAGAACCTTCTTGTTTTGTTAGCATGAAGCAGAAACATCCTCTGAATGTTCCAATAAAACGTTCTTTCTTAGTTTACTTTTATATTAAATGAAAAATATCCTTGAAACATTCTTTGAACATTAGAATAAAATGAACTTAGGCAGATAATGTGAGCCAAAGTTCCTTTTTTAACTTCATTAGAACATTGTTGGAAATAATAAACACCCCGAAAACGTTCTTTAAACATTAAATTAAAATGTTCTCCATGTCATCCATTCCTTCCATTGTCATCTTAAAAGAGTAAAGCAGACGGACCAACATTGCGCTCTGACACGTAAAGGAGTGGAAGCATAAAGTGGAAATACATCAAGCCTCCGTTTAGGTACAGTACTTGAGTAAATGTACTTTCCACCACTGCTTTTCAGCCACAGAAAGCAGCAATAAAGCTCACATAAACCAATTACACACCACCTGCTCAGCCTCAGACACCTGACAGACACAAGTAGCGACCACAGCAGTGACCACAGCACAGCGTTTATGAGCCTCACAGGCAGATATTTCCTCCAGGAGATGTTGGAAACCAAAAACTAAAAGAAGAGCCAGTTTTGCACTTAATGATCCTCCTGTGTCTGCTGGATGCCTAAATGAGCAACTAAAGAGTTTTACAAGGTGATTAAATGTCAATGCTACAGTTTGTTGCCCACTAAATTCAATTAAAGCAGCATTTAATTACACACATATGTGACTTTAAGGTCTTTTAAAGTCACACGACATTTAGAGGCACACGTCAAACCAATTTATTTCCGTCGCTGCTGCGTGTTCATTTCGCCGAATCGCAGCGTTGCACAAAGAAGTGCAGTAACTGCTTGTGAACTGTCCCTCTCTGCATAATGTCACACTTCAGGCCCGTTTGAAGTGAAGATATGTGAAACGACAGACGTAAGGCGGCGTGAAAATGCAGTTTTTCTTCCGACTTGAAGGACCCCGGTTGAGAAAATGGACCGTCGCAGCTGCAGCAGAGCACGAGGACGCAACTTATACCCTGAAATTACACAATTACAACTCAATGTTTTGAAAACAGGATTAAAAAATAGAGTCTCCTTCCTAGAAAGTGCATCAGGATGTTTGTTTTAAGTCATTTTTGATTCAAGGATGCAAATCAGTGCCAGCTTGCATTAAATGCGACGCTCCGTCCATGCATGAACTTGTCCAGCGTCAAGTGCATGCACATACATCTTTATATATGTGCAGCAGATGGCTTTTAATGTTTTTTTTTTTTGCTTCTTCTTGCACGGTTGCCATGGCGCCCGTGAGTCACCGGGGACACACATACACCCCTCCTTCCCCCTGCAGTGACCTCACCATGGCGAAACACTTAACACCTTTGCAGAGGCACACTGTACCGACACTTGAGGCGTGGGTGCAACAGAAAGTCTGCAGATCTGCGGTCGGTGTGTGTGTGTTTGTGTGTGTGCATGTGTGTGTGAGTGAATTAAACAGTGAATGACGGAGGAAAAGGTGGAGAAGTTAATGTTGCAGAGAGAACGCGAGAGCAAAAACGGGAGGCTGGGGACATCTCTTGCGCAAAGATTTTGATATTTACAAGTCAGACGCAGTCAAACACACACTTACACGCACAATCAGGCACGAAGACACGAGGAACAACTGACACGACTATTGTATCGCACTGAAAACAGGAGCGAATCATGCAACTACGTCTACTTAATACTCAGAAATATAAGCATGTTTTTGCTGTAGATAAGCTGCTCTCTACTTGACAAAGTGAGCAAAACTCATCAAATGCTTCTGTTAATTTTGTCTGCACATAATTCAGATGTAAAGGATCATTTTAAAGTGTAAAACTAACAAAAATTGACATATTTTCAGTCAATCTGACATTGTTATCTACCGACAAATAATTCAAAAATAGTGAAAACTGATGCTTTTTCCCACAGCCCGGGGAGAATCCAGACATCCAAAGATGCTTAGAACATTATAAAACAGAGAAAAGCTGCATCAGACAAGCTACCAGCAGACATATTCTTCAAAAAAATTGACCTAAAATGACTCGTCAAGGATGGAAATAGCTGCAGAGCATCATCATTATCGAGGGGAAATACACCATTTCATTTGGTTCTTGGGTTTCCTGAGAGCGGGCCTCGTGCACGTCAACAAACCAGCGTGGCGGATGCAGGCGATGCGGTCGGCCAGCAGGTCGTCCCCGGACGGAGATCCCTAATGCGGTTAGCAAATGGCCATTTTCAAGTGGCTAATTTCTGTGTTTACTTTCAGTCGCTCTGGGCAACAAATGAGATGATTCGAGTGACAATCGTGCAGCAGGGAGCTGTTGTCCCGATGTTCCCCTCGACCTCTGCAACAACAGAGGGGGGAGATTGTAAAGCTTGTAGAGCCACAAAAGCGGCGCTGATGGAAAAAGGAGGAGAATTCTCCTTTTAAAATCATCAGCTTACTCTCCTTTGTGCACAATAGCGCACGCAGGGAGCTAATGGAACAGGCTGTTTGCTACTACACTGGGTCTCGTGTTCAAGTTAACAAGTCCGGTGTGAAACTGTGTCTGGTTCTGGAAAGATGCTGAATGTTGTCACAAATCCACATTCTTTTTTTTTTTTTTTTTTTTTGAATACACTGCATCTCTCTCCCTGTTCCTAATCCGATCCTTCTCTCTCGCCTCACACTTCCTCCCACCTTTTTTTCTGTCTGCCCACTTGCATTCTGAAAAACCCTCCTGCCTGCCTGCCTGTCTTCCTTCTAACTACAGTTTAACTTCATTTTCTGCTCAGAGAATCCTGATCTCTGCCTGCGTTTGGAGTGATATTTCACAGAGCCCTCCTCCCCTGTCTCTTCATCTCTCTGTTTCCTTGGATTTTCTGTTCACTCTGCAGTTATTCTCAGCCTGACAGCAGCCTTTCTCCTCTCCCCCCGCTTGCTTCGTCTTCCCTTCGGTCCTTCTCTTTATCTTATCTCCGTCCAGACAAATAAATCAATTCGCTAAATGAATTCGGAATTGAATAAAAACCCAAATGAATATACAAACAGCGACACAACTTTATTGTCCTCGTTTCACACGCAAGCTGCTGCATAATTAGGAGCTCAGAGGAAATCAAATTAAGCTGCTGAAATAGTCGCGGCTTCAACAGCAGAGATGCTCAAAGATTTTTTTATTTAATTTTTTGGGAAATAAAGATTTGAAAAACAAACACAAATAAATTCTGATTTGCAGATATCGCTTAATGTCCACACTAGTGTAAATAAATGTGGAACATTCTCCACCAGAGCATGTTTTTATGTGGCCCTGTGGATTTTTCTTGTAAACACATCACATGGTAATCTATTTAAAAGCATTTTATAAACGTCATTGTTCACTTCCATGTTTACTTGCTAGCTTTAATGGCCGCGTTACTGCCACCAGCTGTCCATCAGTATCATAGCAAGACCACGAGTTCTTAATGCTTAGTTCATGTTTACTCCAAACTAACTGACTCTAAACTGACTAATTAACTACTAAATGAATCTGCAACTATTTTTTTAGAATCAATTAGTCAGTTCAAGTAATTATTTGGGAGGGAAAAAAGTCAGACTTCTTTGATCCCAGCTTCTTAAATGTAAACATTCTGGTTTTCTTCCTCCTCTTTCACAGTAAACTGAATATCTTTAGGTTGAGTCATTTGAGGACGTCACCGTGGGCTTTGGGATCACCGATTGACATTTTTAGCCAATTTATAGGTCAAACAACTGAGAAAATAATAATTTGTCGCAGCCCTCATTGACTCCACGTGAAAGAAGTCGTCCTCGTGGCTGCATTTTTGTAACAACAGCAGATTTACAACCAACATGGCAGATCGTCTAAAGACAGCAGGCTAACCTTTTCTGTGTTGGTTTCCTCAGCAGCTCTTGTGCTCGATCACCTGTTGATATAGGTCTATGTGCAGAAATCATGTGAATATGTGCAGGTGAGCAGTGTTCTGCTCCGAGTCTGTTTTCATCTTAGTGTAAAATAACAGATTAATACATTTAATATGCTGTAAACACTGTTTTTTAATGTCTGTCTGGAATTCATTGAGGTTAATAAGGTGGAGAACATCGTGCTAATGTGGTTCATCTCGAGATAACACGCTGATTTACTGACCCCACCACCAACCTTGAAGAGCAGGTATGATTTCAGTCAATCAAGATTTTCTTTAATTGAAAACAGTCCAACCCTTAAGTCTTGTAACAGATTAAATTCAAATGTCCTTCCTCCTGTCATGAATGTTTCCATAAAGGATTAACTATCAGTAGACTTGATGAATGCTGGATGAGGCCAATACTTGACACCCCACAGGTCTCCACCCACAGAGTGCCTTTAAGTGCCTGGAAATCCACACATCTGGATTCAACCACGGGTGGACAATTCAGTGCAGGCAGAAGCTGTCGGCCTCGGGGCTGTATGGTCGAAGTGATCAAATATTCAAAATCATTGGTGGAAGTAGTGCAACGTGTCTCAGAGCCTTATGATGAGGAGACTGGGGTGGATGGATGGGACAACAGGGTGTTCAGCGCTGGTGCAGAAGACTGCTGTTTGATTCTTGTTTCCTATAAACAGCCGGCATTGATTTCTTACTGCCAAGGTTCCCACAAGCCCACGGCTATCTTTTATTTTTATTTATTTTTTTGAAAAGACATCCTCGCCAGCTACACAACTGTAAGACCGAAATGAATAACCTTGGACTTACTATGGACCACAGACAAGAGAGGATTTTGAAATACAGGTCTCTGTGGCCCTCATCACTGGGTCAGAGTATGATTTCAAAAACACAAGCAAAAATTGACATTTTTTACTTCTGCCTTTAGAGAATAACCTGAGACACTGATGTCAGTGAACTTGTTCTAAAAGACTCTGTATGTGCTGTACAAACTGTGCTCAGTGAGGTTTAAGAAATGGCAGCAGGTTGTATCGTAGTAAGAGATATACGGTCGTGACTCGATAATCCGAGACCAAATGTAAAACCTTCTTCTATGTCGGATAGCAAGGATGTCGGATTATTAAGACGGAGGTCCAGATACAAGGAGGGCTTGATGCTTGAAGGCTCATTTGTTGTTAATTATTGTTCATAGTTGTTATAATAACTAGTAGGGCTGGTCCAAATAGCACTTTGTGGTCTCTGGATATTCAGGCCCAATTAATGATGAATATCCGAATATTCAGTGCGGTCGGGGGACACTTCCACCCCGGGGGAGCCCGCCGACGGGGTGGAAGTGGCTGGAACACACAGGCAGTACTTGGCTGTTGATGCTAGTTTAGGATAGCGGTCCGGGTTCTGCTTCCACCATCAGTGATGCCGCCGCCATCCATGTTTACCTCCATAAACACTGAGCACGCTCGCTGCGTGTGATGTCGTCGTGTCCTCTTCTGCGCATGCGGGACACTTTTGGGTCGTATGAAGTTCACACAGCAGATCACATACAAGTCGTATTTAAGTGGAAATGTGAACGAACTCACAAATAAATCTGAATTGAGCATTAAGTCCTGCAGTGTGAACGTAGCCAATCTGTGGGATTGTTCAGTCAGATAATACGCCGTTATCCTGATTGGTGACATTAAATGTCATGTCGTAGTCGGAATCCAAGGTTGTCGCTATGTGAAGGCTATTTTTAATGGGTTCCATTCGTTTTTCCTAAAAACCCGTCAGATAGCAAGGTTTTCAGATTGTTAAGGGTCGGATTATCGAGTCACGACTGTAGGTGTTTTTTTGTTTTTTTTTTAATACAAACTAAAATGTTTGTCCTAAACTAGTAAACTACTTAACAAGTTTGTGTTTATGTCTGAACCCAGCCAAACTTTATCCAAACACAATCATAAATCATTATTCAAGCAGCTTTAGAAGACATTCCATCAATACATGGCCTATTTATAAAGGAAATAATGAAAAACACACTCTGTCATTAAATTTGGAAGACTTTTTGAGATGTAAAACAGAATTTTAGAATTTGTTGCAGACTCTGGTTCAAGAGCCGCAACCTCAAAACTCACTGGTACAACCGTTAGTTCTTGCCCACAGTCAGAAAAGGTTCTGTTAGTTCCCTCGTCCTCCCTGAGTCAAGTTCATGCCCTACCACTTGTCAGTCATTTTGATGCTCTGTCTACTTTGAAATGGCATTCAGCCTGAGGCGGGCATCTGCAAAACCCATCACAACCAAGTAGTGAAAGAGCAGACGAGGGAACACGGGCAGACTGCGGTATAAAAGCAACGGCAGTGTTCCACCTGCCACGCATTAGCACCACTTTTCTTTGATTTCTCCGAGCTTTTATCTGTTGTTGTTGTTGCTGCTAAGACTTCCCTGCGCTCAGCTACCATAAATGACTGAGAAAGTATGCACCAAAAAGGCCCAGAGAAAGGCCAGTTCCAGACAAACAGGAGGACGAATTCATAAAGACCAAACATATCAGCGTGGCACCTACCGAGCATGACGAAGGGGATGCCCAGGTATGTGGAGTTGTAGGTGGCCCCGGTCAGGTTGAGTATTCCAGCAGCAGTGAGGCCCGACAGCGTGATCGACAGCAGAGCCAGGAGTCCCAGCCAGGGCTTGGACCTCACACAGTCCCTCATAGAGCAGCAGAGGAGGGCCAGCACGCCGCACACGCCCAGGCTGGCCAACAGGGGGCGACGCGCCAGCACAGAGGAGAACTGGAAGTCTGTCCTCAGGGAAGAGGAAGTGGAAGGGTAGAGGCCCAGCTTCGGGTGCAACGCCGCAAAGTGCTGCAGCTCAGCGCAGAAGGCCTTTTCCCACTGGCTGGCCACCCGGTCCATCAGGCCGCCTCGAGCTTGGAGGTAGTAGGTGAGCTGCAGCGCCCTGGCAGAACGGACGCCTTCCCCCCTGGCCCCCGTCCCCTGAGCTCGCACCGCCCCGCTGGGACCCCAACCCTGCACGCCGCCCAGCTGGTGGCCGATGTACGCCTGCCGTCCGTCTGCCAGCTGGGTGATGGGGTACCGCAGGACCGGGACGGACCGGTTGGAGGTGCGAGCCGCCTGGATCTCCTCCATGGCGCGGATGATGTCATCGATGATGCAGACGTTCTTGTCGTCAGGGAGACAGAGGTAGGAGAAGGAGTAGTTGAAGCTGTTGAAGCCCGTGGCCGGGACCGTCACCTGCATCTGGTAGATCCGCCTGTGGAGCTGCGAGCAGACCAAACAAAGAGAGGGAGGTGTTTTTGGGTGAGCGTCGGGGCGGATGATCGTGCTGCTCACTCACTACTTTGTGTTCTAGTTTCGTTTGTTTTTGTTTGTGTGAATAAAAGGCAGAGAATGCGTGCGTGAGTATTTCTCAATAGAGTAACAATAGTTGTCTCAGAGTCCTCCTCCGTTTCTATGGCGAGAGGACAACGGCGCCAGCATCCACGGTGCTGGTTACTAAGCAACAGGCCTGATGCTGGTCTCTACCACAGTGAACATTGGACAGAGCTGTCTCCCACCTCAGAGTGCTGCAGTGGCTTCAGGGAGTGTGTCTGCAGGAATGTTTCTTTAAAATGGGTTTGTTCTGAAAGTTACCTTCTTGCACCAACCTGTCCTATGAGGATGCAGACACTTCAACAGCCAAATTATTCCAATGTGTCATTTTTAGCAGTTAGATTAAAATTCCCAACATAAGTCCCTCAAGTCTCTTACATTCACTTTAAAGGCCCTATCTGTACTTTTTTAAAAGCACATTACCTATGGTATGGTAAAATTGTATGCTTCTAAAAGGAAATCTTATATATTGTCTTAACCCAGATTTGTAATTGATCCGACTCAGAACTCCCTCATATTGAGAGGGTTAAAGAAAGAACGTTTTTAAAACAAGAGTACAGCCATGCTTGCAGCTTTATACAATTCAGCTTTGTGCTAAATGCTAAAGCTAACATGCTGACAATGCTAAATGTATAGAATGTTCGCCATCAAACAATCTTAGCTTAGCATTTAGCTAGAGTTAGTTTTTCATTTCACATGGGGGAGGAATGCAACATAATGCAACAACATCACACACAAGAAACATGCGACCCAACAAAAGATATTTCCATCTATAGATCATAGATTTCTACAGAAAGTCAAAGACGACTGGCAGTCAGATAAGGTCTAAGTGTTTACTAAGGCAAAACGGTTTGGGGTAAACGTGTAATTGTGTTCTTTTTCTGACAGATACTGAGATTGCAGTTCAACTTTGGATATCACTTTTAAAGTCAAGCTTCATTTCAGTATTTACTGTGTAATAGATTTAAAGCACATGAAGAAGCATCACCAAGTCAAAAGTGTGAGTGTCGCACTAAGAGGACAGTATGAACTTGTAAAACCATCGACACAACATTTTAAATCCTAAATCAGACATACTGCAGAATGTACATCCTTAAATGCAACCTTTGTGATTTGCTAATTGCATTGTTACAAATTGTGATCCTGATTTAAAATCGGTTGAATGTTTGGGCGTAACTTGCACACTCCCGATAATCAGCGCACTGTGCTAGCACCGACATTCATCCAGACTTGTAGGCTGCTAAACAATAACTCGTATTTTAGGTTAGATAGACACATGATGACATCTGGTTTGCTGGAATCTGACCACCCAGGTACAGGAAATGTAAGTCATTCATTGGTGAAAGGTGACGACTTTGACCTGCTGGTGACACTAGATTGATAGTCACAGGAAGAGCAAAGTCAGAATTTTTCATCCTCTGGGAACCATGAATATCTGCACCAAATTATGTGTCAATCTATCAGGTAGGTGTTGAGATACTTTCCTGGATATGTGAAAACTTTGACCTGCTGGTAGCACTAGATAAACAGTCACAGGATAAGCAAAGCAGTAACTTTTCATCCTCTAGGAACCATGAATGTCTGTTTGCACCACACCCTATACTGTATATGGTAGAAATACTGTTGGACCGCAATTGTTAATTCCAATAAAAAAATAAAATGCCCTAATTTTGCATTTCTAAACCCCTGCTGTAGGATATCTGGAGCCAGTTCCACATAACTAAAACATCTGCAGCACTGCTAGTGCAGTTTTTGGGAACATTTACTTTTTTTAAATCGATGTTAAAGGTCAAGGTTTTTAACTTTCTAGTCGCTAAACTGCTATTTTGTTTGGACATCGAGCATCATTTATGTGGAAAATGCCACAGAGTGCCAATTTGTTTAGCAACAAAAGCTTAAATACTCTGATACAATGCAGTCAATGGGTGTGACTCACAATTCACACTCTTATTGCAAGTGGAAATCCTGTCTAGTTCTTTCTCTCACCACCACTGATAGCACTCTCGCTGCCAACACACACACACACACACACACTGTGGCTTTCTGCATGCAACAAGTTCAGACCCATTCTCAAAGGGATGTGGGAAGGCGTTTGGGTAAATGGAAGAACTCCCACAGTTGCAGGCAGGTCGAGTGTGAGTGAAGACACGCAAAATGAAAAAAAAGGACAATTACAGAAGCGCAAAGCTCTCAGATGATATGTAACCGTGTAAGATTATGTAACTGGATTTATTCTTTCGCAGCGCTCTCTTTTATGCACCAACCTGTTTCTCTCTCGCAGCCTGTTGGCAGTAAAAGATGCACAGTGCTGGACGAGCCTAACTATGGCAGTCCTCTATGGACTGTTCTGGGTTTATGCAAAGTGGGTCACAAGAACGAACCATCTCTGACGAACTCGCACACGGAAACATGCGTGGACCGTGCGTTTACAAGCAAAGCAATAGAAGTTGCAGGACTGTCTGATTACAGCCTCATGAAATCATTTAGCTAATGGCTCCGGGGGCTAATTGCCCTGACTCCATCGAGGTAAACCAACATGGAGACAGAAGCCCCCGAGCTGCAGCTCTGTAATACAAAAGCTCTGCATCATAGCAGTAAAGGTTGTTATTCGAAAGGGGACTGCAGTTGCTCTGCTTAATGACTATCAATCACTGAGAATGAGGGGGAAAGACAGCCTGCATATGCGCCCTGACCTGCAAGATATTGACCTTTATCTGTGCGTGTGTGTTTCTGAATGAGGGTTTGTTTTTAAGGCTGGATCCTGCAGCTGCGCCAGAGCCTCGGTTTCTGATGTATACGCTGTGATTTAAAGGGCACAGACGCTAAATTGTTCAACGTTTTACCTTTCAAGGAGCTTCTCGGAGTCCTTAAATCACTGTTCCTTGTTGTTTGTGTATGTGTGTGTGTGCGCCTGAATACAAAAAAAAAGCCTCGAAAACATTACAGACGAGGCCTTTTATTGCATTTTCTCTCCTATACAAACATACAGTAGGCTTTATGTATCTGTTATTTCCCTTCCCTAACATGCCTTTATTGCATGTTTACCTGCTTTCATTTGATCATTGTGTTACTTTTAAGCACTTTTTTTTTTTCATTTATTGGTAGATTTGTCTGCAGAAAACCACATTTAAACTGTGATTTTGCAGAAATTGCCTGCAAATGTGTTAAAAATCTGATTTTGCAGCCTGCAGGAAAAAAAAAGAGGGTTTGTTTTTAAGGCTGGATCCTGCAGCTGCACCAGAGCCTCGGTTTCTGATATATACGCTGTGATTTAAAGGGCACAGATGCTAAATTGTCAGATGTTTTGTATTTCAAGGAGCCTCTCTGAGTCCTTAAATCACTTCTCTGCGTGTTTGTGCCTGAATACAAAAAAAAACTGCCTCTGAAACATGACCGGGAGGCCTTTAAAATGTGCAAATTCTATCTATTGCATTGTATCTCCAATACATACATGACATTTGCCCTTTTTAACATGGATTTATTTCATTGTTATCTGCTTTAATTTGATCATGATGTTACTTTAAAGCACTTTTCATTCATTTTTCTTCATTTATTGGTTGATTTGTCTGCAGAAAACCACATTTAAACTCACTGACTTTGCAGAAATTTTCCTGCCTGAATACAAAAACTGCCTAAAAATGTTAAAATCCCATCTACAGCATTGCCTCTCCTATGCCTACATACAGGAGGCTTTATGTATTTGTCATTTCCCTTTCTAGCACGGCTTTATTGCAGTTTTACCTGCTAGAATTTGATCGTTATGTCACTTTTAAGAACTTTTCATTAGTTTTTTTCTTTATTTATTAGTTTATTTGTCTGCAGAAAACCACATTTAAACTCATTGACTTTGCAGAAAATGCACGCAAATGTGTGATACAGACAAACAGTAGGCCGTATGTGTTTGTCACTTGACTTTCAAACATGGTTTCATTGCACTTTTACCTGCTATAATTTGATCTTTATGTCACTTTTAGCACTTTTTATTTATTTTTTGGTTTGTTTGTTTGCAGAAAACCACGTTTAAAGTCACTGACTTTGCAGAAAATGCTTTCAAACGAGGTAAAAAATCTGATTTTGCAGCCTGCAGGGGGAAAAATGGAGGGTTTGGTTTTTTTACAGATGAGGCCTTCCACTGCATTGTCTCTCCCATAGCATACAGGAGGCTTTATGTGTTTATCATTTGATTCTCTAGCATGGCTTTATTGCATTTTTACCTACTTTCATTTGATCATTATGTCACTTTTAAGCACTTTTTCTTGATTTGTTTGTTTATTTGTCTCCAGATTCCACGTTTAAAGTCACTAACTTTGCAGAAATTGTTTGCAAATGTGAATCTAATCAGATTTTGCAGCCCGCTGTGCGCGCACATATACCTTGAGTATGGTGTCCAGGTGAACCGGGTCCAGCACGCTCCCCTTTCGGGTGGTGACGATCACGCGCCCGTACCGGCCCGGTGTCTGCAGGTCGGAGTAGAGCGCGTGCTTGGATCGGTTCACGGGGAACAGGCTGTCCACCAGGTTGCCCTCGATCTTGGCCAGGCTGTGTTTGGGCGCCAGCAGGCTCTCCACGTCCTCCTCCACGCGGTACCGGCTGAAGCTGGCGCCCAGCAGGATGGAGAGGAGCACGGGCGCCGAGGCGAAGAACACCGGGTGGCTCGCCACGAACCGGCCCAGCGCGTGGAACGAGGTCCTCAGGCCCGCGTGCAACACCTGGCGCAGCATCCTAGCGCGCGGCCGCGGCTCGAGCCTCTCCCACCGACCGGAAAGCCCCGGAGCACTGCCGAGCATCAGGGGCCCAAGGACGCATCGGTGGGACTCCGGTGACGCCGACTTCGGGGAGAGGACTTATCTCCCTCCCCCTGCGCAGGAGGGTCACCAAGCCGGGGAGAATCCGAGCCTCCTCCGGTCACAGGGGCGCCCCTCTCCCCGGGGTTCTCTCATCCGCTGGAAGAAGCACAGAAAGCTGCTAAATGAGCCAGCATTTCTCAGTTGTGCGGCCAGAACGCATATGGACACCCTGCTTTACATTTAAACAGCCGCTACACTGCTGCGTTCAGCGCAGCCTGCAAACTGCATGGCTCCGTGCGCAACAGAAAATCGCAGAGTGCGCTCATAATTACACTTGTTAAGCGTCTCCTCCAAAAAAAAAACGAAAAGAAAAAGAAAAAAACTGTATCCCAGTAGTTGGAGAGGAGCCACACTGTAGTTGCACTCACACCGAAGCCACGCTGTACATACCTAAAGAGGGGAGAGCAGGATGGAGGGTGAGCATCTGATTCACACCGAGATGTGATCCTGCCGGCTGTCCGTGCGTCCAGCTCCACCCTGCATCACCAAGTCACCACGCAACCTGCTGGGTGGTCGCGCTGGGTGGGTGGGTGGGAGTCGCAGGATAGGTGACGCGGTGTGCACGCACCGGGGATGCCGGTGGAGGAGCCGTTAGTCAGATCAGCCTGATCTGGGTTTCCTCTGCGGCAGAAAGCTCTCCGTCGTCCGGCCTCTCCTCTCCTCATCGCCCCGGTGGTTTGGCGGAGCCCCGGTTCATCCGCCACTAATTACCGGCTTTCAAACCGGGGGCCGTCTCTCCCTCTCTCTCTCTCTCTTTGCCTCTCTCTCCCTTTTCTCCCCTCCTTTGCACCGCCCTCACGACCCGCTCCGAGCCCTCTTCCTCCGCCCCGCCTCTCGCGTCTCCGCGCCGCTACGATGCAGGGAAACAGAACGCATTCGTGCTGGGAGAGATTTCTAGGAATTCGGGTGTTTATAGTGACATTAAAACACTGTTGCTCTCTGAATACTAATGCTGTAATATTCTGTGCTGGGATTTCTGCAGCCTCGGATCATATTAATTAACATGTTGTACGTCTCACAGGATAAAACGCACATTTGTTTTTCCTGGACATGACTGTGGCAACTTTACCAATTTTACGCATTCGTCCTTTTCGCAGACGCATAAAGCATCTCTTGCTGTTGTGTAGCAAGTTGCCATGGAAACCGGACAAATTACTGTTTTTTTTTTTCCTCCAGCAGCTCTCGTTCCTATAGCAATGGTGATGCCACCCATCCCCCCCCTCCCAAAAAAAAAAAAAACACAGACACACACACATCAACGTACCCACACGCGCACACACACTCCCTGTCACACGCACCTGCTGACTCTCAATCTGCTTCTGGTGTGGAGGTGTCTGATACAGTGGCATTAAAAGCAAAAGTGACAGAAAGAGAGGAGGAGGAGGAGGAGGAGGAGATGTGGAGATAATAATTAGTGCAGACAGACAGAGATCACACTCCTCTTGTTGTGTTTGTGTGTCTTTTGGATTTAGACACCATGGGACCGTTAATGGCTCCTTCCTCTCCCCTGGCATCATAAACCAAGGCTGTTTGGAATTAAAAACCGACACAAAAAGCTCTTTGCTGCCTGGGTTTGGGTTGATTGAAAACAAATGGTATAATACAATAAAAAAAGGGCTTTCTAGAAAAGGGGGCTGCACTTTGTTTAACTGTTGACACCCAGATTCTCTGACTTCAAGCATGTTTTAAGGACATGAATACCTCAGAAACTCACTGTCTAATCATATGTCTGTGGAGTTTCATGGTAAGCCTCAGTACAAAGCAACTCTTATGTTCTTGAGGATGTTTCAGAAGATGTTCTGTGGCTTTTTACTGAAGCTCTGAGGAGTATTTAACCATGTAGTTACTCTGGATGGCATTGCCTTGAAATGTGGAGTTAATTTTGACCAGGATGTGTCCTCCAGGATAGTCTTGTGTCGCCTGTGCAGTACTGTTAAAATAAGGAACATCTGGTGGCAGATTGATGTTGAAATTGTTCTCATGATGTCCTTAAAACTCTCTGAGAAAAAATCCAGTTGATTAATAATGCTGCTGCCAGAGTTCTGAGGGGAACCAGCAAAGGAGATCATGTTTCTCCCATGTTAGCTTTTCATTACCGGCTCCCTGTAAAATCCAGAATAGGATTTAAAATCCTTTTCCTAACATACAAATCATATCTTAAAGACCTCATAATACAGGATTAACCAGACAGAGCACCTCAGAGCTCAAAGCTTACTCGTGGTTCCTAGAGTTTCAGAAAGCAGAATAAGAGGCAGAACCTTCAGCTATCAGGCTCCTCTGCTGTGAAACCAGCTCCTGGTTTGGGTTCAGGAGGAAAACACCTTCTACACCTTAAAGATTAGGCTCCAAACTTCCTCTCTCTCGCTCTATTTTTCTGTGTTTCTGCTGGTTCTGCAGGACCACCTGTGGCATCCAGTGTGTTCCCAGATTAGTTAGATGATGGCTGCAGTCTAATCACTTCCTCTGCTTCACTCCACCTATCACCCAGGTCTGGTTGCACCATTTTAGTTCATCCTTTATGACTTGGTTTGCATCATACAACACATTAGTCACACATGCACCACTGATCCTCATGACCCCATACTGTTTTCAGCTGATTTGGCTTTAATTTCACTTGATACAATTTAATTAAAAAAAACATGCTTTAATTATTATCTTTGATGCATCTTCCCTTTGTTGATAACTAGATAAAGCTTTTAGTTGGGGTTATCTGAGGTCACCCTGAACCATCCCTTAGTGATGCTGCTATATACTGCTAGAGGACTTCCCATGATGCACTGAGCCACTCTCCTCTCCCTTCCCCAGACATTTATATGCCACCTTTGCATTTCACCTACTTTTTCCCATCTCTCTCACCTAGTTTGTGTTCTCTTATGAGTCATTTCTTCTTCTCTCTCTCCTTTACCCTCAACCCAACCAGTCGAGGCAGATGTCCGCCCTCCCTGAACCTGGTTCTGCTGGAGGCTTCTTCCTGTTTAAAGGGGAGTTTTTTTCTTTATATGTTTGCCAATGAGGTTGCTCAAATGAGATCTTTGCATTTGTTCGGTTTCTCTCTATAATACAATGCCGGTAGATCTTCACCTTACGACCTAAAGTGTCTTGAGATGACTTCTGTTGTGACTGACTTGAACAACTTAATATGATTTTTGTTAACGCATCTTTAAAAAGACAGAGTTTGTAGCATGCAACCAAAACTTGCATCTTCATTATGCATTGGTAATTAGCCAATCTAACTGATTTATTTAACAGAGGTGCTTTAATTAACACGTGAAGCATCAATACATCTAATTGTGTTGTGTTGCTTTCTTGCAGGTCTGCAGAGAGGCTTTGATTCTCTGTTAATAATACACTCAATGTGTTGCTTTCTTGCAGCCAAGTTGGAAGTTCTGGACGTCAGACACAAATTGGCATGAGATAAACAGCCATTTATCCAAGCTGCACTATTGATAATGTGGGCGACTGAGCAGAATCACGACGACATTAAGCGGACAAGCTTCAGCGTTAAGTTCAAGGAAATATCCACCAGAGCTACGAGGTCTCGATTAAGCTGCTCAACCCTCAACTGCAAGGCGCGAAAATGCACCCGCGGGTTAATCAAACATCCCACGACCATCATTTCCTCGAAAAAGTTGGCGAAAAAAAAAAAAAGCAGAAAAATACAAGGAAACAACATCTGCGTGCATGTTCTAATCCATTATTCAATTAAGCCTCTATTAGCCTTTATCCCCATTACCAGTCCTGCGAGAGCCGGGCGGTGAAGGAATGAATGAGTAAGCGTCTCCCCGGGGAGGAAGGAAGAGCAGAATAGAAAATGAAAGACTGCAGAGATATAGGGGGCTCGGGGCAGTTTCCTGATAACAAAAGTACTAATTAGTGTCGCTAAATGATTTATAGAAATCAGAAAAGTGAGTGTGTGTGTGTGTGAAGGATAGAAAGAGGAAGGTGAGGAGAATGAATGGAGCCCTTTTGAAGGCCTTTTTTTTTTTTCATCTCAGGCTATTTTCTGCACCTACAGAGTCGAACGAGGGAGGAAGAAAATCCTCCAGGAGTTGAAAACTGCTGCCAACAAATACACTTCACCACGTGCACACAAGATGGACAGATGAGGAAAAGAGTACAGGCAGCAAAGACCAGAGCACCTCTTTGGGTTTTTGCTGTCGACGGGCCGTCATTTGCTCCGTGTTTGGCATTGGCCCCATGTTTGTCCATCTTCCCTCCATTATTAAACACAGCAATATGGACACAGCAGATATTCATGAATAAGGCTCCTCTGCGCGTTCGTACTTTCTCCGAACCCGCCCATCCTTCTTTTTTCCTTTCCACCCCTCCCATCCCCCCAGTCCATCTGTTTTGGTGGAGCCCATCCATTAATAAAGAGCCTGTCCTTTCATTTCTATTTCCCCTCCTTCTGTATTATTTATTTACCCATCTATCCCTCCGTTATGGCGGGCAGATACGGTCACCGGATCGGGACGCAGCAGAGCCGCGTCCCTCCGGAAAAACTGAGATGAACTTTACTCGTCGCGGGAAATGAAAACTTCAACTCCGTCAGACTTCTCACCCGTGTAAGGGAAATGTAATCCACTGTAGTTAATAAGTGAGTACGTTAAACCTTTTAAACTGCCAACAACATTGACTACAGTCACTGATTGGTAAACTGTCAGATTTAAATTTAGCACAGCTGCTGAAGCAGGTGAACCTGCCTGGACAGAGAAGTTTGGTCGGAGTGGAAGGAGGTGATTGGGGAAGAAAAATGCAGTAAAAGTATTTTTTAAAATGTTATTACCTCTAACAAGATGTCAGAAACAAAGGAACACAGACCTCTCTTAAGGCTGATTCATGTCTGCAAATGTAAAAGTTAAATTTTGCCATCTACCAAAGTCCACAAAGGTCCCTGTATGTCTGCAAAGGGCCTCTAAAATCAAAACCAGGAAAAGCAA